TCAGAATTTGTAAAGGCCTATGTTGTGGTGTCATCAACTTGTAACTTGTAACTTGACGACTCCTCTGATAACATGTGATTTATTTGTGAAGTTTTTTATTGCGAAAGTTAATGGGATTAGAGCTAGTTTTTCTACTTTAGCTTCAAACCCAGGTTTAATACATGTAACCGGATTGTGTTTTAATCAGTTTGAACCTGTCACTCTCTGATATCAAGGACATTATTCTTCACTTAAAGCGTTCATCTTGCCCCAGCAATGCCGTTCCATTGTGCATTATATGGATGATGTGGACATTGTTAGCCCAAGCTTATTAATTGTAGTCTCCAGAAGGGGGTTGTGCCAGTATGTTTTAAGCAAGCTATCGTTGAACATATTCATAAAAAAAAAAAAAAAAAAAAAAAAAATTAAAACAAATCTGTATCCGTATATATAAAACATGATTGACCAATAAAGAAGACAGATCATATCACTCCTTTGCTATGCTCGTTAGGCTGGTTACCAGTACAATTTAGGATTCATAACAATATGTACTATATGTATTTAAAGCAGTTTATGGTATGGCTCCAGAATACTTGGTGGAGCTCATTAAGCCTTATTAGGCAAATATATCACTAAGATCCTCAAATAAGTTCCTGTTAACTTTCCCACGAGTATGTCTTAATTACAAGGGTGATCGTGCTTTTGCTGTTGCTGGTCCGAGATTATGGAACGACCTACCTTTTTTGTTAGATCTTCCCCAACACTATATTTTTAGGTTTTGTCAAATGTTTCACTTGTTCTCTCTTGCAATTTAAGTCACACCTTAATTGGTGTTTTACTTTTTTTTATTGTTTATCTTGTTGTTTTGTTCTCAATCAAGAACTGTTTTCATTTGTATAATTTGTAATGTACAGCACTTTGAAACTACTGTGTAGACTGCTTTATAAACAAATAAACAAATAAATAAAATAAAAAAAAATAATAAAATACCCACATTTTCCCATGATCATTAAACCACAACCATTTTTTTTAGGAATTCAACCTAAAATGTCAAAATAGACTAACTTTATTTGTATTATTTTGTAATATACTATTTTAGTAGTATATAATTAAATATTTCATATATGTTCTAAATGCAGTTTACTTAATTGTTTAATGTAGTATTAACTTATTATTTATAGCATTATTAATTAAATCATTTCATTTATTTAATATTTTTATTTTAAAATAGTTACAGGTAATGAAAGATTACAGGTACTTTTTGCTATGATACTGAAATTTATCTGAGGAACCATGAAATTTTACTGGTATGGGTGCCAACTACAGAAATGTACCTGTTTAAAGGGCATTTACCCCTGATAGCCTTTTCTCTAAACATATAAGAGTACAATTATTAGTACATGAAACCCATTTTCTTCAGAAAGAGTCAATTTTGTAAGTGACACGTAAGGTCTCTCTCAAACAGCCCTGATCAGTCCTCTCCTGCCTGATAGGTGCTTCTGCCATTTCAAAACGCTGAGAAGAGGGTCCATAAATCACACATCTGTTCTGCTAAACACCTCTAATACTGCTAAATGAGTCCTCAGAAAGAGTGTCAGACAGCCACTGCCTCAGCCTCCCAAATCGCAGTCATTTACCAGCACTGTGAAAGCTCTCCACCCGCAAAAACACTTAAGAGGCAGTAAATGGAGGAGATCTCTCAAAGTCAGGGGGGGATGTGATCAGATGAGAGGAGTTCTCAACAGTTCTAGTGTTAGCTAGCATGTCTTACACCAGTTTCCCTGAGATAATGTAGGAAATGAACTGTGAGCTTTGAGAGGACGTGTCGTATTTCTATATGTGAGGGGGGAGTGGACATGACCTCTCTGGACAGCATTTTGTGTCAGGTGTGGGGTTGAGGAGATGAAGCGAGGACTCAATTGCAAGAAAAATGGGTTTTTAATAAGTATAAAACAATAAAGCAAATAGGGAGACCAAACAAAGGAGGTAACGAAGGAGGACTGGTGGGGCAAACAAATCAATAATCAGGTAATAAGATGGGAGGGGCTAAACAATCAACAGGAGGCCACATGGCACAAAGAAACATACATGACAAGCCATGTGCTCACACCAAACATGACTTGAACACAAGCACATGCCCAGTAAAACCAATCACCAGCCATGTGCTCACACAAAATGAGACACGAACAAGCAGCTAATGAAAACACTCATAAGCACACAGCTAGTATAAAACACAAGCTATGTGCTACACAGCACAATACAAAATATGAAAGCATATGAAACAAGGCACACAGTCAAGACAAAACAGGAGTGTCAGGGCTCTGTCACAAAACCAAGAAATAGGAGATTATCACGCTGATACGTAGTACTTCCGGATTCTGTGATGTTTGTGCACTGCCACTTCCGTTGAATCACCGATCTCGCTGGCGAACTGATGAAGGACTACACTAAGTTTATTTATACGGCATCCCTGGTAAATTAATCTGATTCACTAAAGTGCCGGCTGCAAACAAACGTGCTATCTTGTTTTATTTTAAAGTTTTAATCCACTTCTTCCTTATACTCAATTCAGGCTGGAATCCATGAAAACTTAAGTAGGGTTGGCGTTGTTGGTTAGATTTACAAAGTGGAACAGAGCAGTGACATATATAGCATTCGTCTCAGGCATTGTTGAACTGCGTCGGAAGTGGACATGCACAAAGTTGACAAATCCCGCCCATGAAACACGGAAGCGTGATAATTAGGGATGCACCGAATATTCGGCCGCCGAAAATTTTCGGCCGAAAATGGCCCAAAAGTGCATTTTCGGTTTTCGGCCGAAAGACTTTTATCACCGAAACAATACGGCCGAAATGTTGTGATGACGCAAACAGAAACCGCGACCTGCACGTGCTTTTCTGAAGCAACATGTCTGTGGTGTGGACGTATTTCAGTGTATCTGAACCCGCAATGAGACGGAAACCTTGTTTATCCACCTGTATCTGCTCTAAACAATGCGCGCTCTGTCTTTGGAGACTCGCGCTGCGGAGGCAGGCGAAAGTATAAACAAGGCTGCGCGAGTCTCCACAGACAGCGCGCGCACCGCTCTTGACCCGCTCGCAACCGGAGTCGTCATCATGGCGGCACGCATTGTTTAGAGCAGATATAGGTGGATGACACAATTAAAAATTATAAATAAGACTCGCGCTGCGGAGGCAGGCGAAAGTAAACAAGGCAGCGCGAGTCTCCACAAACAGCGCGTGCACCGCTCCAAACGGTCGAGGCGTTTATACTTGACGCGCTCTCCGTTGTACTATTCCTTGAAACGACGACTCAAGTAACTGTCCTCTAACCATCAGGAATCGGTGAGAAGAAGACAGATAAATACATGACAATGTTTATTTTTTAGTATTCCACCACCAATACAAAAATAATCATGTAAAACCCAGTAAACCCTGAGATTATTACTTGTGACATTACAAAAAAAATATGTATATGGGAACATGTATGTATAGAACTAAATTAATGCTCTCTTAAATATTTTCTATATTCACTAAACATGTTTCATTAAGTTTCATGTACATTTGTATTAAACATGGACCATTGTTCATTTAAAAAGGCTTTTTATGCTATTGTATGCTAAATTTTTAAAATGTAACTAATTTAGACATGCAAACTGGGTGCTAGTGTGATGAGAAGTTTGCGCTCGGCTTTGTTTTTGAGAGAACGTTTCATTTTAAAACCTTTCTGCAGGCCAGTAGATTATTATTTAGTGTACACATGAGTGGGGTCAAGTTAAACATTTTAGTTTGAATTTTATTTTATACTGTGCATTGTGCTAAATAAATATTTGCATAATTTGTAATTGATTTATTCTTTGAAAATGTTATATTAATTTATGCAATTGCAATGCCTTGATTTTAGTAAAGTTTGTACACAGTCATAGCCATAAATGCAATGATACTAATAATTGGCATAATTTCTTTCGGTGTTTCGGTTTTTGGCCTTGGTTTCCTCTTTTTCGGTTTTCGGTTTCGGCCAAGAATTTTCATTTCGGTGCATCCCTAGTGATAATCCCCTATTGACTAGACAGAAGTGAAAGAACCCTGACAATCACCATTACCTCATTCTTACAAAGCCTATGATGTAACACAAATACCATGTATTTTACCCACCAATAAGGAATTTAGTCCCACCTGCTCTTGTAGCATTAGTCAATAGCCTTTGTTAATGTTGAAGAAAGCTGCTGCTAGCAAGAGTGATCTAGCATTCATGCTCTGCCGCTTCCCGCAAGACAAATAGACACATCCGAGAAGCAATATGTATTTAAAAATACTTTCCGAGCACATGGAAATGAAATAAGGACAAATAGTCCAATGATGGAAATCAAATTAGCACATAAAAAGAAATAACTGTCCTTTAGCACATATACAAGAACGCCTACTGTTTTAATTAGCATTTCATTGTTATTTCTTTTCATAAAAATGTGTGTGTGTGTGTGTGTGTGTGTGGGGGGGTCGCTTTTTATCGCTTTTTAATTTGAATGTAACAGAGAATAAATGTAACCTTTACATAAGGGGACAAAATTACAACCTCAATTAACCCTCCACAAATTAAAACTGATTTTTCAGAATTTCTTGCAGCCGTCTAAGGTATTCAAGTGTCCTCAGCATCTGGGATTAACGCTCAGCATTATGGGTATTGTTCGAGAATGATAGAATTAAGACTGAGGTAGAAGTCAATGAGCTCTGAAAGAGCTGTCACTACAGTCACTACTGTATACTAAAAAAAAAAAAAAAAAAAACTAAAAAAAACAGATGAACATGCGAGGCACTAAAGGCTTGGGCATACAGTACAAACAACAATAAAACACCAGGACTTAACTACAATAAAACTGCTGACATGGATTATTGATATGCTATGATAAGTTATCATTTACTGTGGGAAAGAGCAAACCCACCATAATGAATGAATGAAACACACACAATTAACAATTAATCTACTGCAAGATCTTAATGGTGAGGTGCATTACGAGGATGTACCTCCAGATGTTCCAAAATATAGGGTGGGTTGGTCATGCCCAGGCGCAACATCGCTCCCTCCGGGATCTCCTTCACCAGTTCCCAGAGCAGAGACGGCAGGTCAGTGCCGATGTCACGGCCGTACGCACCCGTGTCCTCACTGGTCAGCCAGATCTCACAGACACCCTCTGCAAGATAAGACAGCGTTGTGTTGATTAAACATAGCCATTTTGCATTCAATATAGGAAACCATTGTTATTTAATATTTCTAACTGAAAGTTGACTGCCCAATCTCTGTATGTGCTTTCCATTTGCTTTTATGCCAGTCAGTTTAGCAAAACGTTGGCATCTTTTGTAAGCAGTTTCATCTGGTGTGCTGCCAATGAAGACACTTGGTTTAATCTCAGTTAGAGGAGGGGGAAGAAAAAAAAAAAAAAAAGGAAAAAAAAATGTATACTCTTAATTCTTGACCAAAGGCAATTTTCAAACACTGGCCAATTTTGAGATTTTGCTTCCATAACATGCCGCCTTTCAGACTAGTGGAAAGAAAACACATTCAATGTTAATTGTATTATACTTTATCTATTTGTGTCTGTAGATGTTAATTACAATATATCTTTAAAAGCTGAGTTCTTTTCTCCAGCACAGAGTTAGAAATATCCACTTAAATACAACAAACTTTCCAAATTTCACATACTGTGATTAATCAAAGTTTTTTTTTTTTATTTATGGGGGGGGGGGGGGTCTGACCATATTTATTTATGGTGCCTTGCGAAATACCATAGTTAATAAACAGATAAGATAGGATTCTGAGTTAGAATGTTTCTGCAATACAGCCCCTGACGTAAGGATAGTAAAGAGATAGACGGCTCACAGTACTTGACATTACACCGTTCGACAGACAATGCATGGTAGTCATGTAGTCCACAAATGGAAATCAGTTCAGACACAGGTCAGAGATAAACTCTATAGCAGCATCAACCATCATGTGTTACTTCCCGCTCTCCAGAGCAGCAGATGATGAAAGCTTCCTCATTGGGAGATCAATCTCCCACGCTTTCCTGCACTGTGAGAGACTTAATAATAGCGATTTTGACCGTGTATCATCGGATGTGGAACGATCAAGGTTCGGCCCATCATTTCATGACTTTGCATCAAATCTCTGCTGGATGCTATGCTTAAAATGCAAAGGGACAATTAGCGAAGGCATAAGGATTCTTAAACATGCAAGTGAGTGAAGAGAGGCCACATGCATGGTTAATTTAAAGGAAGTTAGCGTTAAGTCCAGATCAAGGCCATTAGGGCAGCTCTGATGGGTGTCCTTCTGCTTGCATTATTAATCTAGTGTCAGCGAAGTGGAAGAGAAGGTTAGTGCTTCTTGAACATCCCCTGATCATTATAAAGCCCTTGTCTCTCAGGGCCATTCAGCAGCTAATGTAGGATTCAGCATCACTCCATCAAATTGCAGGGGTTCAAGTGAAACGACAGTCTGGGCCGTAACAAGTATTTTTTTGTGTCATAGTGCTGAATCTGACTGACAACTGACTGTGATGGACAGAGCAAGTGTTTTTTCTTAGATGCAAAATCAAGTCACATTTCTTTATGCACTATATCATTTTACACAACAGATATTTTGTGCTACGGAAGCTTCACTGTGATAAACATGAAAATAACAGTGGTGATGCATCAATTCTGAAATGAATTTAATTTTAGCTGTAAAGCAGCTCTACAAAAGACAACAGTGACATTATTCAGACAATATGCTAGTCTTTTTAACGGTCCATCAGTTATGAAACAAATTCATTTGTAAAGCAGCTCTGTAGAAGACACCAACTATGTGTCCATGCACCTTCAGAATGATTACAGTATAATGAGATTAAGGCAATATTAACATGAAACAATCTCATGTCATCAAATTGATGCCATTAAGCTCATAATCGTAACAACCATAATTGAGTAAAATGTAGCATTTACAGATTGTACACAGGCATGCAAACACTTATCATATTACAATCAATACAAAAAAGTTGTGTATAAAGTGAAATTATACAGGAAAAAAAAAATATTGAACACCTAACTTGAATTGCACTTAATACTTGGTGGAAAAGCCTTTTTTTTGCAAGACAGTTTCAAGATGCTTCCTGTATAACCAAACTAATCACTGACAGTGCTCAGGAGGGATTTTGGTCCAATCTTCTAAAAAGACTGTTTTAATATCTTGAATATTTTGTTAATCTCTTGTTAATCTTGATCTTCAGTTTCTTCCACACATGTTCTATTGGGTTTAAGTCTAATGATTGACTGGGCCATTCCAACAAATTTATTTTCTACCTATGGAACCAATTCAGAGTCTCCTTTGCTGTATGTTTTGGATCGTTGTCCTGCTAGAAGGGCCACTCGTGTCTCATCTTCATCATCCTGGTGGATTGCAACAGATTCAACTCAAGAATTTCTGTTCTTCTTTCCTTCAATAATATGGATTCTGCCAGTGCCATGCGAAGAGAAACAGCACAATACCATGATCCTTCCACCTCCAAATTTCACTGTTGGTATGGTATTTTTAGTGTCATATGCAGAGCCATTTCTCCTCCAAATATACGCAATGTGTGGCATTATTGCCAACTCATCTGACCACAACACAGTCTTCCAGTAATTCACAGGCTTTTCCAAATGTTGTGTTGCAAACTTCAAACGAGCTTAAACGTGTTAACGGTGTCTTCCTGGGTGAGTGTGCACGGAGGTGGTGGCGGTGGAGAGCATTGCCTATTCTTTTCTCTGTGTAACTGTCTTGTGAACAAAATTCTTTCTGGAGCTCTTTCCGAGTGGTGCTTGGCTCTTGGATTACTCTTCTGATTGACCTTCTGGCTCCCTGATCAGAAATCTTGCATGGAGCTCCCAAGCCTGGTCAGTCTATGCCAGAGTGATGTTCCTTCCACGTGCGGATAATGGCCCCAATGATGCTTACAGGAACAGTTATGTAGCACAACAGTCTTGTTGCAAAGGTCTTGGGAGAGTTCTTTGCCTCTACCCATCATGAGATGTTGGCGTATTTTTGTTTAGAGGTGGAAAAGCGTTTTTATAACCTGTCAACATGCACTAACCCAGCTGATTCTAATTCGCACAGGTGAAATCAGCAGCTGACTTGTGTTTCCGTGCCTTGGTGTACTGCTTTTTCTTAGTGTTGAATACTTTTTTCCTGTGTCATTTCACATTATTAAATATAACTTTTTTAGATGGTAATATTATGATTTCTTTATCTGCATCAAGTTAATACCAATTTCTAATAAAAAATTAATGTGAATTGCTGCATAGAAACTAAATGTTGATAAAAAAATATCAAAATGTTGATGTGTTGAATACTTATTCCCCCCAGTGTATGTAAGTTCATAATTTGTGCTGTGCAATGGGGTATGTAAATAATTTAAGTAACAAATAACCACAATTTTTAGCAAATTATCACAATAAAAATTGCATGTAAATGGGACTGAAAACATTTGCTTGTGTCATGTAAACATCTTACAGCAAATAAGTTCCAACTGTGATTATTGGATATAATCGTATTATTGATGCATGTGTAAACAGTCAATAGTGTCATTATTCATCAAAGACAGAAGGGCTCTGCTCCAAAAACTACTGAGCTGCCCACCTGCACATATCGGTAACTTGGTGTCCGTTTGAGCACCATCACATGGAGCAGCTCAGAGTCAACATGAATTTGAGACATTGAGGGCTTTAACAGTCTATGGACTGTTAACATCTGGAGGTGGTTGGATATGTAGCCACATCACATACCACATTTAGACTTAAGACTCAACATGAAATCCCTGCAACACAGCTCATGTTTACGGTCTCATTCACAGGACTGATTGTGTTGACCACAGTGAATAAGCAATAACAACACTGTCATGAATCTCAGTCATTGGCGACGGCTTCATCTGGGCCGGGTCACATAATCATGTAACCTCACAAAACACAATCAATTAACCCATGTGACAAAGTGGGGGATTGTCATAAAGAATGCGGCAAAAACAGGATGCACACACACGGCCCCAGCACCTTTCCATTACCTGAACCCTGGGCATGAGCTGATGTCATCTACACACAGGGTGTTCTTTTTTCCAGCAATAAAGTAAGGAGGGATGGAAGAGGGTGGTGTGGAAAGAGTGGGGTTTGAGGGCGTATGACATGTGAGGAAACAGCTGGAGCTGCAGTCCTGCCTTTCCTGCAATAAAACGCACAACACCATCCTCGTTTGGCCCGGCTCTGCAGGAAACCCATGTTTGTCGTGTCATAGCATGGCGCACACAGGACCATGGTGCATCCATGAATCCTCCATCACCACACTGCAGCTCATACTGGTATACAGCTTGTTCTCTCTGTGTGTGCTGTGCGTTCTTAACACAGTTGTGTACAGCACATTTCAGCAGGTGCTCCGCGATGAAGCTGCTTTCTGGAGCTTACACACTAAAGAACACGTCACAGTGGATCAGATGAACTCACTGGGAGGGTCAATAAACTGCACTGTGGAGAGTGGAACTGTACACAATACACTCAGCACGACTGATGATGTTTCCAGTGAAAATAAAGCTAAATTGTTAATTAGCTTTTAAACAGACTCATCTAAAGCTGAGCTTGGCCTCTGAATAATTAATATCACATAATGCTCTTAAAGTGATGATGCAAACAGAGGAGAGTGTGTGCTCCTGACTGGCATAAGTCAGATCACATCAGTCCTGAAAACCCAATCCCACCATGACTACAGTGTGCCCTTCAAAACCAAGTCCTGCTCACCTCTGATGAACTGTTTACAGTTACAGAGTGGAAGTTTGTAATGAGTTGTGCTTGCCAAGATGAACTTCACTATCAATACTGCTTATACAAAAGTTTAGACCAGTGTCCTAGTACCTTTTGTACCTTTGTGTCAGCAATTATATGAAGAGTTCAGATGCAAAAGCCTCTAAATGCCATTTGAAATTTTCTTCTAAAATTTTTATCAAGCTTGTATATTTAAGTTCAGTAATTTCACTTAAATGGCAATGAAGATTACCTATTATTTGTCATTTAAGTGAAATTACTGAACTTAAATATACAAGCTTGATAAAAATGGTCATTTTAGAAGAAAATTTCAAATGGCATTTAGAGGCTTTTGCATCTGAACTCTTCATATCAACACTAACTAACTAACAAA